TAAGTCGCATTAAATATGAGGGGTGCATGTTATGGAGAAACGAAAAGTAGGCACTTATCAAAAGGGAAAAGGACAGTCATAAGAACAGAAAAGAGGCACCTGTCCTATGTTTAAAAAAAGGGCATTTGGGGTGTACCAGAAAAAGTAGGGCATAGCCCCCCCCCCCCCCAACCGGGAGTGCCTCTTCTGGCATAAGACAGGCAAAAGACAGTGAGAGAAAAAACCCGTAAAGTCATGTAATGTTAGCAACATGTGTAAATCACTGGTATCGAATTAGAAATAAACCACGTTTGAAATTAATTCGGGGGTTCAACTGCCAATGGGTGGGGGCACCCCTATCAAGATTTTCTGTAATTTGTAAATTTTATAACAATTTGCCGGCAAGTAGCAAGTAGCATCACTCTCTCTCTCTCTCTCTCTCTCACTCGCTCTTTCCCTTTTCAATTTGAAAAAATTGTATTTTTCCCCTTCTGTTGGGGGATTTTCAACAAAGTTGCCGGGCTGACATGACCCCCCCCCCAACACACACACATACTAAACTGGTCTAGCGGCCTGTTTACATAATATGGACACGGTTGTTTTCAGAATTGGGTAGACAGGCTGTCAGTTAGAATATTGATGAGCTAATTTACTTTGAGGATCCAACATGGTTTCGACTACACGCGACGCTCACGCTCCGTCTATTAAACTCATCTCGGCCTCTTTCCCTCCATAATTTTCTAGATCCCCGCATTCCTCGTCCCTCTCTTGTATTACTAGGGACTTTTAGATTTGCGTGGACTAATACGTGTGACGTCCATTCAAGGTAGTCCTTTAAAAGGACGTCGAGCGTAGCATATAGACCTATTGTCTTCGTGCGAATCTAAAAGTCCCTATTCATGGTGTTGGTGCACCTCTCGCATCCACTCTGTTAACCTTGCCAATGAGGACAGTGACCACAGTGACATGGTTCCCTTAATTACTCATCTTTTAAAAAATAATAAAAACTTAATTCTCACTTTGCTACCTTGTCTCATGAAATATCACAACTCGTTCTCACGCTTACCCCTCGCTCTTCCGACAAGTAAGGCTTTGGTATTTGTGACGGCGGACGCGCGCTTGCCTGGTACTCGGCACTCCTGCAATACATGAAGTCTAACCTCAAAACTAAAAAATATCAGATTTTCTTCTTTCTGTTGATTTAACTCGTTCAAATTGTTTGGTTAATAGTCTCTAAATGTTCATTTAATATAGTAGAGAGAAATAAATCAAGAATAATTATTCTTACCGCACTGTATGATTCCCTGGCTGCAGTTACTGGGTCCGCCATTTTCTCCATAATGGATAAGAACAGGTTTCCGGGAAAATTTGTTTCAATCAAAGTAATGAGAAAAAATTCCGATGCCGGCAAAATTCTTGTCGTGATGAACAAAATAGCGAAACCTCCTAAAGATATAAATATATAACTATTCAGATACAGATACTTTTAAAATACCCCAATTTTGTTCAATTAAAATAGATCACCTTGGACTTGCCTGACATAGCAAAAGTTAATGTACAGTGTGCAAACGGGGCCTCGTTACACGAAACCGTCTTAAGGACAACTTCCATGACAATCTATTGAAACGCGTAATACATGTACACGTGTTTCATTAGATGTTGACGAACTTGTAGTTATAACGGTTTCGTGTAACGCTGCCCTGCATTCTAACCATGCTGAAATACACGTACAATACCTTAAAGCAGTTGAATGAATAGGTCATCACTATGGACACTCGGGGAAGAAGCATTCATAACATTTGAATTCATTTGGAAACCAATCTATTGCCACAACTTCGCTTCGTAGTCTTTATTATGCATGATAAATAGCATACCTTAATATCATGAAAACTGCGGCCCAATGTGCATGGCCGGGAGACAATAATTTGTTATAATAAACTTGATGTATACTCCATCGGGGATGCTTTTAGTGCGAAATCTTGTAGATCGACCCCTATATCGACCCACAGATGGTTGTTTTAGATGAACTGTTTAAAGAATAAGCATATCATATTTAGGGGGTGGCTTTCCAAAACCCGTGTCATAAAATTGTAAAGCTTTGTTTTGATATTGTCTGCACCCATTCCAGTTTCGGGTGAGCGCCATAGTCATCAAAGGACGTAAACTAGTTCACGTGTTTCCGGCGTTCAGTATGTGTGAATCGCAAATCGTGCCTCACCGTTCAGTGAAGAAATTCTGGCGCCTTTTTAATCACGCCGTGCCTGACTCTCGATAATGCATTTGCATTTTTTTCGTTTGAACCTGGCTTACAATAGGCCATTTTCGTAATGTAGTCAAGTGCGTCAAGTATTAAGTAACGCGTACAAATTTATTTCATTCAACTGTTACGAATAAATGTTTTTCGATAGTCAGAATGCAAACTGCAGACATGTGGGCCCGAATTCACAAAGGAGGTTTGTCGACAAACCTAGGTTTATGTGCGTCATGGCGCGTTTTGACGCGTTTTGACAAACCTTGGGATACCATGCGTGTTCCCAAACTCTCCGGCTCGTAACAAAAGAAAAAGGTCTCCCCGTATTGACTTTACACAACGGACTTTTGCTGAAAAAGGGAGGGGGTGCTGAAAAAGGCTCGTATATCAAAATAAAAAGGTCGACCCGTATTGACTTTACACACCGGACTTTTGCTGAAAAAGGGGGGGGGGGGCGGGGTAAAAACGCCTTTGTTAACTTGGTTTGTAAAAACGCGCCAAAACGCGTCATATGACGCACATAAACCTAGGTTTGTCGACAAACCTCCTTTGTGAATTCGGGCTTTTAGTTGTTACTAGGTAGGAGAATCATTATGGCTTGCCCTACCTAACAACTTACAAAATTCCATTCTGACTATTGAATTATATTTATTCGCAACAGGTGAATGAAAGACGTATATGCATTAAATCTGGTTACATTACGAAAATGACCTACTGCAAACAGATTCACGCATTGCCATATTTGGATTAAGACTATATAATAGGGAGATCCCCTTGCATCCGATTTCATTTAAGATCTACCAAATAACTTTCTATTCCTACAGGACAAATACAAATACCAAAGCAAATATCGCCTGTGTCATTATTTCATTTTCCATCCTCATTCTTGCAAGTCATCTGGAGCCTCATTTCGCTTCCACTTGTCTCGTGATTTATGCTACCTTCTTGATCATGTAATGATAACAACAATAATTGTTTGTATAAAAAATACTGTATATGTTATAACATTATTAGGGCTTTACACAATATTACTTCAGACAAAGCATTCATTCAGACACAATGTGTGCACTATCTCCACTCGCTGGGATTGCATCCTCACCATAATCTGCCAGTACGTATATATGGCAAATGCAATCGCGATGGAATTTTTCGTTCATTCCAGGTCACTAATCGACCTACTTTCCTTGCAATAAAGACGTATACAAATAAGTATCGTTCCAAAAGATGAAAGCATTATGTAAAGCCCCAGTCCCATATAAAGCCGGACCAGCACGGACGAGCTTGGACCACTCCGGACCATCCCGGACCATGGTCTGGGGTGATCCGGGATGGTCCGGGATGTTTTGTTCAAAAAAGTGTGATGCTTTTAAGCTACAGTCCCATATACGTCCCGGACCGTCCCGGACCATCCCGGACCCCATCCGGGGTGATCCGGGATTCGGTCCGTGTTGACACCGTGTTGGCACCGGGGTGGTCCTGGATGGTCCTGGATGGTCCTGGATGGTCCTGGGCGGTCAATAACTCACTCCCGGACTGCCACGGATCAACACGGACCGCCCCGGCGCCACTACGGATGACCCCGGACCCAGCACGGTGGCTACACGGATCACCCCGGATCAAACTATTGTCCCGGACCGTCCCGGACCACCCCGGCAGTTTTTGACCGTCAAAAACATCCGGGGTCGACTCCCGGACCGCCCAGGACCATCCAGGACCATCCAGGACCATCCAGGACCATCCAGGACCACCCCGGTGCCAACACGGTGTCAACACGGACCGAATCCCGGATCACCCCGGATGGGGTCCGGGATGGTCCGGGACGGTCCGGGAGGTATATGGGACTGTAGCTTTAGCCTATTACTCATTCGCTTCGATTTCTCCTGAACGAGACGGATTTTGCGGCTTATCATACTCTTATTAAGTACAGTGCTGTAAAAGACAGAATTTGCGAGTTGACGGCTAAACCTCGAGTCCATTAAGGCATTAGCCGCGAATATCTTAGCCATGTAGAGGTTTAAAAGGACTCTTTGACCGAGTGCACGCATCAAAGTGCCAACAATCCGATCTCTAGGGAACATAAAATTCTCCTTACCGTTACAATTCAAATATCTTTTAACGCTAACAACCATCGAGACAGAAAATTCAGTTTCAAATCTTAGCCTAAAGCAATATTAATGATATTAAAGAAGTCTATTTCCAAAATTGTAATGTGATACAAATCCAATATGAAGTGGTGTAGGCCAGTTGTAAATTTGCAAAACGTATTGTCGGTTGCCATAAGTATTACAAATAGGAAGTTATTGGGATTGATTGACACAGTATCGGGGGAGGGGAGTGCCCCATAATCGAATGGTGAGGGGAGAAAATGCCTTTTTTTTAAATACGGAAACAAATATTGTGAATTATGGTGAAAGCGTTTTCTAGAATAATGCGGTCGGTGGGAGGGGTATTATAGTAACATTTCAGATGTTGAAGAAATCAAAGATTTTAGCATTTGCCTAGAGGGTTTTAAAAGCAATCACATATCAGCTTAAGAAACACGATGAACGAGCGAGAAAAGCTCCCCCCCCCCCCGAATTCAGAATTTGGGATTGGGGAAGGGGTTTAATGACCCCCAACCCCAGTGGTACTAATGTCAGCATCATGGTTGTAAACCCAAATGCTGGTTATGGTTCATCTTAATTAAATTTTGTTAATAATATCATCAGGCTTTTTTGAACCATCATGTGTTACAGAGAGAAGGAAAAAAGATGAAATCCTGGTACAAGCATTATGAAATAATCATCACAATATGAATGTCATTTATTCGAGTATCAACAATTCGGAATCTGCTTTCGTAGAACAAAGGTTAAAAAAATAGAACAGAAATACCAAAAGACACGAAAACCAACGTAACAAAATTATAAATCTATCAATGCGAGATATTTACAATAACAGCCTCCATTAATGCACGGTATTCTATCCGTGCATTAGGTTGGAGTGATGAAAAACACACCTATACACACTTTAATTATAAAGCGTTATAATCATAATGTATATAATGCGGAGCCCGCGCAACAGTTGGTATGGTTGAGTCACCATAATATCAGCTCAGCATTTCAATGTATTATTTATTAGGTTAGACGTCAAACATGACAGTGTCACTTACAGCAGTATTCATTCCGACTGGTGTTTACAAGTTTAATAAAAGACACATGCCTCTCACGATTTCAGATTCTATTGAATAAATATTCTTTCTCCTTTTAAAGTGATGGAGCCTAGGATGGTGTCGGTGGATCATTTGAAAGGGGGGGGGGGTACAAGACTGAATTGGCCAACAAATTAGCCACCGCCACAAGAGGCGTATCAACTAATTTTAATTTGCTTTTTCTTAGGGTTTAATGGTCAACAGTTTTGCCAAAGAAATTTACAAATGGAGGACGGGGGGGGGGGGGGGCCGCCCCCTCTAGCAAACCCTCAGCTCCTAACCACTGATCAAATCAAATGATTATAAAAAATGTACACCCGAATAATACGTTATTAAGAGATATTCAGTGAATATTCAACAATATCACATACACATGTAAATAGTTGAGATTCTGAGTTTTGACAGCAGAAAATGGTAAACTACTATCAAAATTACAGCACATTTCGACAGCTTATTTTAGTGACCGATTTATAATCATAATTACTGGAATATCATAAGCCCATTTCTACTAAATCAACTCTAACTGTTTTTATACCGTACTATATTCTACTACAACGTAAGTACTATACTGTCAGCAACTACACGAACCTTCATAAATATTTATATAGAAAGAATAATTGCGCACTTATCACGGAGCAATTCTTATTGCTGGAGTTTCTTTCATCACTACACATCTGTCTTCATCAAATGACATTTATACATATCTACTGTAAACGCTGCATCACTTATTTACATTCCAATGGACACGTTGCACGAGAACTTGACAAATTTTAAAGGACATCATGAGTCCTGTGTCTTGACTCTTTACTGTCATGATATATATCGTAGATTACATAATAATGCATGATTACTGTAACAGGGAAATGATAATCGTCAGATAGCGAGTGGAAAATAATGTTGGGCATGTCTGGCGCCCGTTGTACATGTGCCGTCATCATATAAGCTAGGTCCACCCCTCCGTTAATTCAGTCTATGGATGCAATGAATTCATGCGCCAATGGTTCACAGCAAAGTTGTCGGTGTTCATTTTGGTTAAATCGTTAGTATGATAACACTCTTGCATATCGCGTCAAGGACCGCGACAGTCGCTGATGCATTATTGCGTCATTTTGATTACGTCAATACATGCGCCTATTAAGCCTAATTTTATAGACCAGTAATTACATTCTAAAGAAATTTATACTCATCGTTTTAACGACACAACTCCTTATAGCGCCGTATTCGATGACGCTATCTTGCGTCATATTGATTGCGTCAACACCTGCGCTAATTAAGCTCAAACACCGGTCATACGATTTTAAGAATTTTTTTAACGCTCCTTTTGTACGACGCAACTCCTGACAGCACGTCAAAGAGCGCGGAAGTTTCTGACGCAGTCCTATATATACGTATTATGTATAATATGGCCTCGTGTGCAATAGATATTAAGGGCTATCTACATTGGGTGTGTTGGCTGTACGATGCGTCTCTATAAATATTGTCTGACTGAATAGGCCCATCCATATGACATTGAGACTTGATTCATTCATGAGGATAATGGATGCGTTTTGAGCATCTAGCTGTGTCGAAGCCTTTTAACCTACTTACACTTTATACTATGTCCTCTAGCCCTTTAACCAATATCTTTTGCTGACGCTCCTCCTCTCCCCTTCTTTTTTTTTTCCTTTTCCGTTTTCGTTTTCATCTCCTCCTCTTCTCATCCGCGTTCAATATTGATGTGTGATGCATTATTTTTTTGTCATATTGATCATAAAGCAGCAGGAAGCTACCCAATACGCACAGCTTCTACGTTAAAGAAACTCATTTCGTGTAAAAGGACGTGGGTTCCCTTATACCCAGCAGCTATAAACTACCTCTATGAATGATCTATGATTATATACTAGCCAAGGTAACTCTCATTCTTTATGCAGGCGATTCGAAGCAATTTCTTCTGTAATACGTTACACTTTCAAGGCTGAAACTCAAGTGGCTGCGCATGTTGTAAGCCGCAAAAAGGTTATATCTGTTAACTTCTTCGACAGTAAATTGACTGGATTGCCTCGATTCAAAGCATGATAAATGCATCCTTTTTCCCACCACTCCAACAGCCATTGTCTGCAAAACTTCATAAAGGCGCGTTATTCCCCAGGGCAAATGTCTCGGTAAGACGCGTGGGCGAATATTGCGGTCGATTTCCAACAAGTGAAAAACGTTGATTGGAACGGCGGATCACCAACATTATTACTGTTATCTTTTTTTTTTCTTTCCTTTCTCTCGTTTTTTATTTTTTTTTAATTTTTTATTCATTATTATACTTTTTAACTTCAAACACATCTCTACAATCTACTTTGGTGTATTCAGTTTGTAACACATATAACAGCCTATGAACAGTAGCATCCTAAATCACACAGTATTCATACAGTATTCTGTTCATTACTCAAATCGATGTTGCACTTGCGGTTAAATAACATGGTAAAAAAGAAGCATCGATTTACATGTGGTACTGTAATAATTTTTGTTTATATACATGGATTGATTTCCTCTACACTGGTTCATCTTGGCAGTCTATCATCTCATCAGAGAACTACGTTAAACTCTCACGACTAGTCTAACTCGTATATAGTTGTACTTGGTACTGCCACTAAGTCGGGCGCTACTTTGCAGTCTACTGACCACAACTACTTGTCGACATTAAGCATTCTCCGATAAGACAGTGCGGATCTCACAAAAGGAACCTTGTAATTTAGACTTCACTCGCTCCTCCTCCGTCACTGTAACACCTCTTGGAGGATGTGCATTTCGAGACCATGGGGATCATTTCGAGGGCACATAGAGATCAAAGCTCGATCTTCCATCAAAGTAATCCACGCAATCATAATCAACCACAGAGCATCCGCTTGGCATTTCGGTGCCTGCCCTTGATTCTGGAGCCATTGATCAGGAGCTGGTCCGACGATGCTCTGACCTCTCGAAGCTGCGTCATGTAGAACCATGACTAAGTCATAGCTCAAAGATGTTCTTGAATCTGGAAGAGAGGAGTGATTCAACACCACTGGATACAGTTCAGTCTAGACCCAAGATGGATCCTTAGAACCTGGTGCAGACTTGGGTGCTTCTGTCGTACTCTGTGGCTGTGTTCCTGATCCATCTGTACTTAAATAGACCGGTTTTTGTGTGGGTTGTGTTATCGTGATGGTGGTGGATGATGTTGGTGACTGTGCTGTATGCGTCACGTCGGCCGAGGCGGAACGTTGTCGATGCGTCGTCGGCACCGTCATGAAGACGTCACCTTCAAGATCAGCCGTATCCATCTGCCTCGAGTTCTTTCTACTCCCGCACTCGGAATTCGTGTTGCCGCTGGTACTGTCTGTTTTGTGGATGTGAACGCAACCGCCTTCGTTTCGGTATTGAAGCCCTTGTCTTGTCCACCGCTTCTCAGTTGGTGTTGGTGGGGGCTTGAATGCCGAACCTCTCCTTGCCTCCTGGATATTTGGGGCGCTACCTGCTCTTAGCTGTCGGCCTAGTCCCTCTGGAGATAGGTGCTGTTTTTGTTGTTGTAATGCTGATGCTGTTTCAGCTAGGGCTGGCTCTGCGACTGGAGCTCCTGTCTCACACTCTGCGGCTGCTAGTAACCTCTGGTCACGGATGCTTTTGTTTTTATCCTCAATCCTCCTTCGGTCCCTGCAAAGATAAAACAAATTGAAGTCTCAGTCAACATTCCAAGTCTGTAATGTGATATATATATATATGATATACATATTTTTTTTCTTGATGTTTCGTAGCCCATTTATTCATGTGCGTGTAAGTGTTATTTAAAAATATGAGTTTTCAGATTACCTTTATAAAAACATTTGAAATCAGACAGTGTGATTCCCTGTAACAAGGTATACAAAAACAACTTCAAAACCGCATTTCTCAACCCAGCCAATGAAATTGATTATTGCACTTGGGACTGATCTGTCCTTTCTGTTATACACGAATACAAATTCATGCATAACAAAATGATATGGACTGAGAGAGAGAGAAAGAGAGAGAGATGGGTGAGGTGCCGAAGGCGAATAAAGGCATGCAATTATCATTCGCTTAAGCCTTGAAAGATAAACAAAATATTACTCTGAACATCTTCAAACACCGAAATAAACATTACTTCTATTCAACATCATCTCATCTGAGCGCTAGATTACTTTCTCACGCAGAAAGATCAGAAGAGGTACAGCGACAGGAATGATTTTGATACACAATAACAGAAAGCGAGAGTGTGAAGGCTTCGAAAGCATCAAGCACCTTTCAGTGAATGACGCCCTGATTAGAACAGCGTGGCTGGTACCGACTGGCGGTCTCTTTAGTCGGCTTTCCTGCCCTTAAGGTACTGACATTTCATTTCATAAGACATTCCTTAGGGTAATACTATGCAAACACGCATGGATTTATATCTCTTACCCACCTCCTTATTACGACAAGTGTATACAATTACTCCGTTTCGAGGAAATGGTGGATTTTAATGGAGCCGCAATCTACGAATGCACTTTACATAATAATTATAACTTAATTCAATTCAAATCATATCATATTGAAAGATAATAGGACGGCTAATGGCAGCATGTTGTATCTTGGCTTGATCAACATTGGCTTGATCAAGCATTATTTCCCTCTAGACAGCTACGTTCTCGAAACTCTGGCTAACTTGTATAGGGCTAACACAAATTGGGGGGAGCGAGCCTTGCTCATGCTGGGCCTTCTTTATGGAATACTTTCCCTCCATGGATTAAAAATAGCAGTTCCGGTGAAGTGTTAACAAATAATCTTAAGAAATATCTGTTTAATTTAGCCTATAATTGATTACCAATACCTTTTATGTCCATACCTTTTCTATTGTACTTTTGTCTATTTATCTTTTGCACAAGCTGCGCCTTGAGCATTTGATTGTCAAGTGGATTTGGCGCCTTACAAATCTTATGTATTATTGATATCTCGTGCAAATGGTAACTGCCTTCTTGCTTCTTGCTTGAGTTCAATTCATGATCGTAATTTCGAGATAGAAAAAGGTTGAATGGGAAATTAGAATTGGGAATTACTGAGGAATACATCGGAGACGTGGACGTTAAATGCCTGGTTGTTTCAGTTTTCCTTGTTCGTTCCCCTCTTGAGTATATGCTTTTAGTTGATGCTATTTGAAACAACAGGGCTGGAACTGCCACAGAAACGTTGACTTTGTATCGTATTGCCCAGTATATAATATTGTATATCTGATGTAAAGTGAACATTGCTAATCATGTCCAAATACGGAATGAAATATGGCACAAATAAATTCGTCATCAGAAGTATGAAATGGTGTCCTAATAATCAACGCGGAACAATTGGTTCACAGTCTTATTTATTTGTCTGCATGTCTTTCGTAACGGTTATCAAGCATCTTCGATCACCTGAATGAAGAACAAAAATTGAAAAGAGAGCGAATTTTGCTCTTGAATGCATAATTTGATCCATCTTGAAAATATTGTCTAGTTGATTTACCGCTCTTTCGTCGAATGAGTATATATTCTTTTATTCAATATGAATATCGAATAATTCCTTTCAATAATTTTAACAATAATGAATCATGACTTAAGCAGGGAACATTAAAAGAAAACATTCTGGCACGAAAAAGAAGGAGAAGGAAAAAAAATAATAACCCATAACGAATGCATAGCTCTGTGAGAATACGCAAGGAAAATGAACTGAATTCACATTTATTTCCTTCTGATGAACAGTACGACATGTTGAACAATGAAAATGATTCAGTCAATAAAACATGTTGGGTACGCTAGAAACAAATAAGAAAATAATAATCTGAGAGCGAATGGTTTAACTACGCTATGTTAGTGTTATTGGACTCGTATACAGCGATATGTAGGCTACATTAGACAAAACATAAATAACATTGTATGGCAAAGTGGTTGAATTTCCCTTCCACTTGAGAGAGTTCATGATAACTAATTCACAGCCTTGACGAGACTTCATTTCTTACTATGCCACTGTGGTATGGAGGCGAATGAAAGACTCGCTCGCTTAAATGTCAAGTCATGCTAATAAAGAAACACGCTCAGTCGACAACATGTCCGCTTTGCTATTCAACTCAGCACATTTTTCAAAATGAATGAATCCGAGAAGCAAAAATAGGACAGGCTGAATTAGAGGCGCCCTTCTCACAGTTCATCATTTTATTGTCTTGTTATTTATTTCAGTTACGCCTTGGTTTAGGCATGTGATGTATCTTAATATATCACAATCCTTTTTCAAGGTCACATGACTTCATATGACACAATCAATGTTTTCTATGTTTAAACATTTGCCCTTTGTATCACATGCAGGGAACATCGACATCAGGATTTGACCATGATGTTCAAGTGACAAAATTTTACCAAAGGAATATCTGACTTAGAGCTATGATTAACCTTTTTATCTTTGTATCACTTTAACTCTGTTTACAATATGTACAAAATATAAAACTGAATACATCGATATTGGAGGATATTGAATCGCAGAAAATATGCACCAGTGAATATGACACCATTTACAAGAGATCGTCTACAGCTCACTGTATTGGAGAATAGCAACTTCGACTTGGAGTGGAAACTACCAGATTTTCATTTCGTATGAAATAAAGACAATAACTATCATAAGTACAGAGTTCTTTAAGATCCATCCGCATATTGACGCTGCATCGTATCTTTATGAGCAAAGGATTCAAAGAACGAACAAGTTGTACTGCAGGGATTTCGTCGGGGCAATAAAGAGACACCAGGATTCCAACCAAACGATTGGGGAAATTTGCAGATCTGAAGAGATCCTCAAATTGACCAGGCTCATCAATTTTCAATGTTCCTGGAGACCAATTTGGTGGGCAGTTATTGCAGTCAACGAGTTAATTGCACGTTCGAAGGTCATCTTGGTCGCCAAAATCAAATTGGCTTTATATTATACAAGGCGTGTTTACGCTGATAGGGCAAGTAAGCAGGAGTGTTGGGCAATATCAGTTTTTCTTCTTCAAAATAAGGGCGGAGGTGGGGTCAAGCACATTCACTTCCGAAGGTACACATTGTGTTATTGTCGTTCTCTCCACCCGATCCCTGGATCGATGTCACTCTAATTAATGTCACAAAGGTATTGAAATACACAATACCTCAAATTCGCTCAATTATCTATTTGAAAAAATATAATTTCATAGAAGAAAACGATAATCAGAAGTTGCTTTTATCTATACGTATATTACTATCTATAAACTAAAATATGTAGAATTATGTTGTTTATGTTTATAATAGGTGAAGTCTGATATTGGATATGAGAATGTCAAGATTCAAGACACGGTCAAATGGCATTAATATTATTCTGGTATAATGGGGTCGCTTCTCCATAGAGAACAATTTTGGTATGGTTAAAAGCAAGGTACATGTATATACAGATATGCTTGACATAAAAAAGGGGTACCCTGAATGAGTGAAAGTAACCAAGTGTGAACACATCTCCTTGAATAGCTGTGACCGTCATAATAACATCGGTGGTTGGGCTAGCTAGGAGTGGTCTAGAAGATTGCTTGCTTGTGATCTGAATAATGGCGCCTTAGTTTACACACGTACGCTCTTAACCTATCGTATCGTGGCTATGCATATACCATGTCGAGGAGTATCTGGAATAATGTATGATGTATCTCTGGTTGAGCTCGCATTCTCCTATTCGATTGTACAATTATACACTACGAAGATACAAGTTTGATAGGTTATTTACATTTCATAATGAAGGACATACGGCAACATTTTTAGAAGCCATAGTCCTCCATCAGTATGCTTAAACGTTTAAAGAAATGAGGGATTGTACTCATTGTAGCTATTCCGTTTCTGCTATTTCCTTTTGTCACTACTCGCTGCTGCTGCTACTACTATACTACTAGTACTACAGCAAGTGCTACTACTACTACTACTACTACTACTACTACTACTACTACTAATACTTCTACTACTGCTACACTACCACTAACACTATTAAATTTACTATTAATACTACAATTACTATTACTACTACTACAATTACTATTACTACTACTACTAGTATTTCTACTACTACTACAACTACTTCTAATACTACAACATTGATACTACTACTACTACTACTACTACTACTACTACTTCTACTACTACTACTACTACTATTACTTCTACTACTACTACTACTACAATGTACTACTACTAATAATAATATTACTGTTACAATTTCTACTACTACCACTACTTCTTCTTCTTCTCCTCCTCCTTCTTACTCTGCTGTTACTACTTCTACTACTACTACTACTACTAGTACTACTACTACTACTACTACTTCAACAACTACCTGTTGATAGGCCTACTACTGTTACCTTAATGCCCCTATAAAGCACACATGTGCATGGTGTATTTCTGTTTAAATTCGCAGGTCATGAATAACAAAATACCATGAATTCCCTTCCACGATCCTCATGTCTTTATCCAAGAGAGTCGTGACAGTCCTGTCTAGCTACACCACGTCTGTCGGACATGGCATCGGAGAAGAGGACAGCTCGAACGGTACAGTGTGTTTGTATATCTACAGCTGCTAGTCCGTAATTCTAAGCTTCTGACATGACTGCCTGAAGAATTGTCTTTAATTCAATTTCGAAGGCACTCTCCTTCGTTTTCTCGTCAAGCTGACGAGCGAGCAGATCGTGTCAGACAGACCTTGTGAAGTTATTGAGAGACATCAGTTCGAGTTAAGCTTGATGAACGCCTTTGGGGGGGGGGGGGTAACGACCGTATTCACACCCTACGAAACCAAATCAGTACATTTGCAGGCTTGAATTTAAGGTGTCCAATCGTATTTCATAGAGACTCGGTACGCTCTTAACTCATTGTGGCCGTTGTGATTATCTTTTAGCGAGCCAGAACTGCCTTGAACATTGCTTTGTCACATCTTTTTCTCTCGTCTCTGGAGAAATTTAGAATTCTTAGGTGAATCATTCTGATTCTGTTTAGTTACTTCTTGTTCTGATCAGGTCCGTTGAACATCATGAGGATCGATGAGTTCTAAAAGATGCAACAATTAACCATTTCCAAAGACAATGTTGCTGCCCCGGCCCCCCCCCCCCCCTCAGTGTTATTTAGGGTACGCATATGCGTGTTCCAACCGACCCCCCCCCCCCTTTTCAGCAAAAGTCCGGTGTGTAAAGTCAATACGGCTCGACCTTTTTCTTTTGTATACGAGCCTTTTTCAGCACCCCCCCCCCCCCTTTTCAGCAAAAGTCCGGTGTGTAAAGTCAATACGGGTCGACCTTTTTCTTTTGTTACGAAAAGGACATTTTGGCAACACGCATGGGGTCCGTCCGTTCTCGGAGTGGGGGGGGGGGGGGGGGCCGGGGTTGCTGCGCCTCATCTGAGATGTTCGCTACAAAATGACACATTTCTCAACTCAGTGTCATACATTTAAACAACACACAACACTATACCTGAACCTAACCCTAACCCTAAACCTGGCCTAAAACCAAACTGCAGCCCCAGCCCTCATATCTTTTACGAAATAAAGCTTGGAGCAAAATGTCGCAGGATCGAATATTTGATTTATAAATAAGTGCTATACCCTCCATGTAAGCAAAGTTATATTTCAATATAAAAAATTATTAATATGGCAATGTAGAAGAGAATAAGAATAAACAACTCAAATGAAGCCAAAGTGTATTATAGTAAATTGCCTTAAAATTCCGTTTACAATCTCTAATACCGTAGATCATTTGAGGTGCCAATGGATTTTCATTATTTAGCGGTTAGACTTGTGTCATAATAAGGGAGAAAAATATCAACAAAAAATAGAAGATTTATGATTGTAACATCTGTAGTGTAATCATATACTATTATATATATATTTTTTAAATAACGACATTGAAGTACAACTAACATATTTCAAGATATGTTTTGGTAGTTGGGATCCTGTTAAAATATGTGGGTATGAACATTTTTTAAAAGGCATTAAAAAAAAACCCGTTTCGAACCGATTAAATACAAAATGAGGGACGCATTATCACGCCTTGATTGATTTGTCCCTCGGTGTGAATACAAATTAGGCTGCAATTTTCACTAGATGACTAATTCCCTTAATCATGAATTATTATCTGAATGGAACAATTTCCATGACAACGCGCGGCCATAGAATTCAATCGCAGTATCATCACGTGAAATCCAATCATACTTTAATACAACCATGTAGTGCTGGCTGTTAATATAGTTCGATCCCATGCAAGATCATCTTACATGCCTGTATAAGTAGTAGTATTATTTACACGAATGGATCATCATTCATTACAGACGGACTTGCATTAATGACTAATGCGAGCCACAGTACGTTCTCCATATTCATCAATCATTCTCTTACAATTGTGTTGTTCCAATATCAATGTCGAACTACAAAAATCAGTAAGGTCATTCTCATGCAAAAATGTGACTTCATGAAACGTATAGCGTATTAATGAAATAAATTCAAGAGTTTATATAATTATATAGCACCTTGTCTATACCGAAGAAATTAGCTTACACACAAAGAATCTCTAAATATTGTTGTATAATGTGAGTGAGTGAGAGAGTGGAAGGAGTGAGTGGGAGGGTGAGAGTATGTATAGCTCCGTGGTGACTATATCAGCATGTAGACAATTACTGACAATGCGCGGAGAGAGAGGGAGAGCGAAAAAGAGAGAAAGAGAGAGTGGAATAGAGAGAGAGAGAGGGAGTAAAAAGGAGAGAGAGAGAGAGAGAGAGAGAGAGAGAGTGTGTGAGAGAGAGAGAGGGGGGGGGGCTTGAAAAAGGAGAGAGAAAGACAAAATGATGTGTCACAGGAAGGGTTGAGTCACGACTCTCTCTGATTGTCAATGACGTTTCGAATTCTATTTCTCGTAATGCATTACCATGAAGACAAGCGTGCATTCTTCCGAAAGAACACTACATCTCTTGACAACCTGTTAGAGTATGGGCACTTTTGTATTGAACTGGAGTTGATGACATTTATAATCTATAATTTGCTCGGGAGATAAATGTAGGAATGTAAATGTACTTTGTAAGTCATGCTCTTAAAATCCGACGAGTTTTTAAATTCATAGTAACGGTCTAAAATACCGACATTTTACAAAAATATTATATTCTGAACTGATTTTTTAACTGACCTTCGTAACTTTATTGCTTTATCAACAGACTTTAACAATACTTATCAAAATCTAATTTCTACCCAGGTATTTTCAAAACAGGAAACGCGAATAGAGCAAGTTAAAACGCCAGACACAAGTCATGTAAAATGTACTCCGTTCCAATTGAACCATACAGTTATAATTGTAAATAGTCACGTAGATATCATTATGTATTCTCATTTTCGATTCACGGGCAATAGTGCACATTTAAAGAAACTAAATCATGGCATTGCAGTACTGAGGATGAAAGTGGCGAAATGTGGAATTGTTTTAAATTTGTCGAAATGTTAGTAAACAGCCTTTTTAATGGGGGAGGGGGGGGGGTAGGGGCAACCTAGTGTATACGGTGAACAAATTGGCTCCCATATCCCGACACAATACACAATGTGAAATTTAAATTTGTATTATCTTGAAAGTAACCATGCAGGAGAGGATCACTGAATGCTGCTATTACTTAATGCTGCAATCATTTAAAGAAAGACTAGATTATAAATTATGTAACGCTCCTTTGATCAAACAAAATCTTAAAACCTGATTTAAAATAATATTGGTGATGGAAATGCCAATGAAATATATCAGCAAATTTTATCACTCAAATCGTACTTGATCACTTATGGATAGACATGTGGGCGGGGCTGAACAAGTAGGCCTCTGTTGTCAGGTGCATATTTTATAATCAGACTTTCTATTGTAGTATCCAGAACTCATATATATCATATCAAATATGATAACAGATGACCTTTCGCAATCAGTTTAGCAAAGCCAACGTCAATGTCAAAGAAATTAATATTGCTTGAGTCTGTCCAGAGATACAAAACCCCTTTGGTGGACGATCGAGATTAATGTGGCAGCCATAATAAAGAACACGGGAGACGCTCTCGAAGAAAAGGGAGAACGAGGGCGGATATTAACCATATCGTGTTTAAATAAAGCTCTGACACGCGTAAGAACGAAAAAAAAAAAATAATATGATCAAGCAAGAAAACTGGATCAAATACAAACACTGGTGGCGATATAAGAAGAGAGGAGGAGGAGGAGGAGGAGGGCGAGGAGGAGGAGGAGGAAGAGGAGAGGAGGAGGAGGCGAAGGAGGATGAGAAGGAGGAGGAAAATGCATAGTGAGTAGAACTCCAAGTGTCTCCATGTCTGCATGTCATTTCATATTACATCGATCAAAGACGCACGAAGAACGCGCGTGTAGCTAGTCAAATGAAAATGAGAATGAGGCGAGGAAAAGAACATAGACAATACTTCGATTGCAGGAAAAATTTATGTTGTATCATTTTGAAAAGCAATGGAAATTTCGCAATCGTTAAACAAGGTTTATATAAATATATGTTCATGTCTCATGAAATACATTTAGTTCCGATATCAAATGATATCTATGATTAAAGATCATTCCTTTCATATATACAATCAAATAAAGATGAAAGTGTCAAAATTGTCTACACAATACCTATTTTAGTCTTTATCTCATAGAATTGATTTAATAGCGTACTGAGGCGTAGGCCTCACGTATCTGTACTGTTACAATAAATGAAAAGTGGATTTAGAAATAACAGGCGTTACCCTTGGAACATGTGACAAAAAACACACATTCAATTGTATCAACAGCAAAATGTGCAGTTAAATCGATTTTCTTACCGTCCAAATGTGAGAGCAGATATCGGAAGAAGAACGATGAAAGATGCTAACTGCAATATGAGGCCATAATTAAAAAACACATTACCAAAATCGATGTAAAAGGCGATGGAAGGGTATAAAGCAGTAATTTTTGACTACTCACATTACGGCCCTGTATGCAGAGTATAGACAGGCAAATAAGAATGCTGAGGCGATAGCCGCGCCCACTGTGACACCCGCTATAAAACCTACGTCTGTGGTCATGGTTTCTCCGATAGTATCGTCCGATTCAAGGTTGTGTGTTTGTATCTTTATGTTCTTAAACACCCAAAACAACACGTTCACTGCTTGATGCAAACACAAAATGTACGCCCCGTTTTCTGAGCCTACTCCCCAATGCAATATTCCTTCAGAAATAATCCGAGAGACGATGGCGACAACTATAGCGACAGCTAGTGAGTGAACAGGTTGCTCGTGGACGGTGAAGCGTTATCATCTACATGGCTAGAGAGATGAAAAACTATGGAAAGATTTGAAGACGAAGTGATTGAGAGAGAGAGGAGGCGAAGACAGCATGCATGCATGCATTCTGCTAAAAAGCGCATATCAAAACACACAGTGCGCGGCGGCGACGGTCGTTGAGAGGGTATAGAGGGGAAGAAAAAAAAACACGCAACATGCTATACTCTCGCATTTTGCGCGCCAAACACCAGCTTCATATTTTGACGGCGATAGCTGTCGTCTGCACTCTGTTTTGCAGTGTGCATGCATATCCGCACCATTAGCATTCCCCATACACAGGGTCGCCTCACTATTGAGACTGTATTCATTTTGTATAATGTTTTGTATCTCATATTGAACTATAAATAGTGTTTAGAGATTTTGCTTGCTAGATAGAGGCCTAATTGTTTTATTTCTAACTTTTTTTTAAAAATTGGGAACTGTGATGTCCATATTTCAATATTGAGGGCTATTAGTACCATGCAGAGTGTTAAAGCATTATTATGATTAGGTACATTTTTTTTAATACTGGAAAGCCAATGTTTTTATTTCATTCAATGTATTTTTCTGCGTATGGTATATTGCTTCAAATCGATTCCAATATTCCGTCAATTTTAAATACTACATGTAGTACATTTTCTACTTTAACCACGCTAAATTATGTTACATAAAAGGTTGGAAATATAATTTTTAAAAAGTCATGGGATGAACCCATTAAATTAATATATACGCCGTTATACACGCCACTAATGTCCTTTGGCAAGGTATTTATCTACATTTGCCACTCAATACCCAAGCGAGAAATTGGGACCAGGTAGGATGACGAAAGCATTTGTGTCAGTAGTTGCCTATGCCCTCACGGTGACCACTACGGTAGGAATCCTCCCCAGGGAGTGAAAATGGTGCATATTGTGCGTGAATGAATCCGATGATCGGGTTAGAAATATCTGTGAAGTGCTTAGAGTAGGTATTCCGTATTAAACGCTATATAAATCCAGATTATTATTGTTATTCATTATACATACCAAAGTTCATATCTACTTTAGATGCCTTATAAGGTAATATTGTACATTTCATGCCCCTCCCCTCCTGCCCCGATATAATTATCATATCCCAATACCACTGAATACCATTTTAGCTAATATCACAATGGTACTAGCAGGGTTAAACCTCCTAGTTCAAAAACCTAATATTTCGTTGACGTTTTACTTTGTTGTCGATCTCCCCCCCCCCCCCCAAAAAAAATAAAATAAAATAAATAAATAAATAAATAAATAAAATAAAATAAAATAAAATAAAATAAAATAAAATAAAAAATACATTAATCAATTGAAAAAATAAAGAGAAGAAACAGGATGGATAAATGCTCTAACTTGTTGAAAATCTCAATTCATATCACAAGTTATTACGCATAAAATGCTAAGATAATTTTGTGTTGTCAAGTATTATGTCTATGATGATTATAAAAGAATACCTATAGGAATAACCTCCCTTCGTTACGACGTAGGCCAATTACGGTCTATAGACCTACCAACCGAATCGCTTTTACCATAAACCTTGGGCATCCTCATATAGCATGTTGATTAGTTGGCAAATTAGATTTGATGGGCGTACATGCAGAAAACTAAAATGCTTTGTGTGTGTTTGTAATAATTGATCATTAATGCACGCCTATGCTCCCATCCCCTCGTAAATTGATAATAATTACCACCGAAGGATGGTGCTAATTAGCATGGTGACGATGATGGTCAGTGATGTTGATCGGGGTTAACGGGTATAGTGATGAATCGTGATGGGGAGGTGATAGTGGTGATGGTAATGATAACTATGATGGTGATCCAGTGATGAGGGTGGTTTTGGTGGTAGAGGTGGTGGTGGTGATGGTGTTGGTGGAGGTTACAGTGATGATGATGGTATTTGTGGTGGCGATGGTGGTTATGACGGTGATGATGTTGGTGGTGGTGACAGTGGTGATGATAATAACGATGGTGATCAGATGATGACAGATAATAATGGCGATTATACAATGATGGTGGTAATGGTTGATAATAATCAAGTGATGGTGACGGTGATAATGATGACGATTGTGATGGTGGTGGTGATGATGGTGGTGGTGGTGGTGGTGACAGTGGTGATGATAATAACGATGGTGATCGGGTGATGAAAGTGTCGATTATATTATGATGGTGGTAACGGTTGATAGTAATCAAGTGATGGTAACGGTGATAATTATAATGATTGTCATGGTAGTGGTGATGATGGTGTTGGTGGTGGTGACAGTGGTGATGATAATAACGATGGTGATCAGGTGATGACAGATAATAATGGCGATTATATTATGGTGGTGGTAATGGTGACATTATAATCAAGTGATGGTGACGGTGATAATGTTGACGATTGTGATGGTGGTGGTTATGGTGTTTGTAATCGTAACGTTGATGGCAGTGATGATGATAATAGTGATATTGATCAGGTGATGAAAGATAATAATAGCGATTATATTATGGTGGGAACAATCGTGACAGTAATCAAGTGATGATGACGGTGATAATGTTGATGATTGTGATGGTGGTCATGATAGTGTTGGTAATGGTGATTTTGATTGATCATGGTGAAGATGATGATGATAGTGATAATGATGATGATGATGATGATGATGATGATGATGATGATGATGGAGAGAGGGAGGGGCGGTGATGATGATGAAGGCTATCTTGATGATGCTAAAATGTACGCACATAATTATTTTCTTCCTGGGATAAGACAAACCGTTTCATTATGAATGACGGTTGGTCACAAAACTCTGGATTTATTCATGTTTTTAGACAAAGTTTAAAAAAACATGTCAACAACTATGGGTGCATGTAGACCTCTATGTCTTCACCTATATAGTTCGTAAATAACTACAATCCCTGCAATTGGAAGCTCATACGTATATAGCTATAATTTTCCAGTCGCTGTTACCAAACATCGCCTAATACATCTGCGGGATATTTCTTACAACACTTCTTTCTATTTTGTAATTGTTTTTCTCTCGCACGAACCCTAACACATATTTTTTTTTGTTAGGGTTCCAAAGCTGCACTATTATCTCGACTTACACAAGCGAACTTTCAAAAGTCAGTACGAGACACACCTTAACAAACTGCATAAGGTAATACTTTAGGATTATTCCAGGGCAGTACCTTATGAATTATAAATTATGTTATAAATCAACCGTGGTTGTATAATACCCTTGTAGAGATCATCGCGGGATGTAAACATCTCATTGGAGGGATTTTAGTCAGCAAATTTGAGGATGGAATTGTGGAAAGTAAAACAAAAGTAGCAATGAAAAGAGAGAACAATGGACAGAGGAAGGGAGAGGATATGATTAATGTTATTAAGGCACTATTTCTTATATTACCGAGATTATTGACATTAAAGTGTAGGAAGCGCAAGGCATGGTATATTTATAATATCAAGTTAAGAGAGGAGAACAAAAGAACGGAAAAACAAAATGGCTCAGAGCAGAGAATATGGGTTAAAAGAGGGAGAGAGAGAAAGAGAGAGAGAGAGAGAGAGAGAGAGAGGAGGGAGAGGAAGGTAGAGGGTTAAAGAGAAAGTATAAGAGCAAGAGAGAGAGGGGGAGAGAGATAGAGAGGGAAAGGGCGGTAGAGATTTATAAAGACAGTATAAGAGAAAGAGGGAGAGTAAGAGGATCAAAACAAACTAAATGCGGTAACTGCGTCAATATAATGGCTCTTCGAAGCTCACTAAATGTAAGCCTGATAAAACCACTAAGCAAATCTATGCAATTAACTCTTAATGTACTTATACTGTTAAAGCGAGTTATTCCATTACCATGTCGATAACACACTTAATTTGACGTTTATTTGCCTGTTATGCATGAACATCGATTTATTATGCAGAACACAACATGTATAATGTAAGCTATCGAGAGTGTGTGTGAGAGAGAGAGAGAGAGAGAGAGGTACAGGCATACGGCTAAAATAAACAATGTGGAGGAATAGAAGAGCAATGGAACGGCGAGATGCTGTTTCAAATACATTTTTAGATTATGCTGATACAGTCAGGATACTCGTGAATGAAAAGAAATGGACTTAATCACAAATATTTTGTGGGTGATTATTAAAATAAAGAAAAGAAACATTATCCTTTGGCACAACATTTTAATATTATTTGTATCACTTTAATGCTTTCTTCTACTTTGATTCTTATTTTTATTTAAAAAAATAGGATGAAAAGGTGAATGGTTACATCTTTATATGCAAGGGAGGGGATTAAGTTGGCTTTTGCAATATTATGATAGAAGAACATATTAAATGCCGTATATTTATCGGTGATTCCGTCCTTATTCTTCACTCAATATTATGTTTATCCGACAGAGCATTTGTAAAAATGCAGAAGGCGCTTGAAATGATCATATTTTCACCAGCTCAACTAAAATATGCTCTTTAAAGCCCCCCCCCCCAGATCTAAAACACTGCTCATGATGTTAAAAAAGTAGACAATAACAAATCTTTTCCATATCTATCCACTTCCAAGAAGGGTTGTTACCATCATATCCAATGTATGAAACTCCGATTGTACTAAGGAAAAAACATATCGATATTTCTTGGTATGGAATGTCAGCTATGCTTACTATGCAAATCCCAGCTGTATTATCGACCGCCATTATTTAGATACGATGGCAGGTGTAATGGGATTATTGGCTGGTTAGAAGTATCGATCGATAACAATGGCAGGGAAGATTAAATGTCGGCTGCAATATTCATAACGGTTGCGTTGCCCTGATTTAGGCTAATGATCAAAACTGGGACCGAAGTATCGTCATTTTTATTGGAATTACACTCATATTAGCTCATTCGTATACGTATGAAGATAACTATAATGTCACTTATTAGGATATAAACGTGGCTACAACATAATGTTAAAAGAGGTCTCATATTAATTGATTTGATTTGATATGACCAAGCGGCATTATGTATTGTTATCTGCCGAAACATACTTGTACAACTATTACCTCTTGATACTTTATTTTATTTATTTATTCATTCATGATAATTATACAGGGTGGCTCATATCACCAATTTGGTGGTCTTCCATGAGGCCGTATTTGGTAAGAATAATTTTGTTAAACATAATTGATTATC